AGGCTTTCTACTCCCATAAAAATTTACAGTTGGGAAACTCATAGGGACAGTTTGATCCTATTTTATAGGGCTGTTATGAGTCTAAATCAACTCAATGGCAATAAGTTTGGCTTTTTGGTTTTTATTTCTTTGGTATGGTTTGCTTTATCAGCTTAGAGTATAAAGACATTTGCAGATCTTTTAAAGCACTTGACAAGACTAACAAGACATCTAGGATTTTCTAAGACCCCAGAACTATTTTTTTTAAACATTTTATTAGGGGCTCATACAACTCTTATCACAATCCATACACACATCAATTGTGTAAAGCGCATTTGTACTTCATTCTCAAAACATTTTCTCTCCACTTAAACCCCCAGCATTAGGTCCTCATTTTTCCCCTCCCTCCTCCTCCCCCTCCCTCATGAGCCCTTGATAGTTTATAAATTGTTATTTTGTCATATCTTACCCTGTCCGACATCTCCCCTCATCCCCTTTTCTGTTGTCCGTCCCCCAGGGAGGAGGTCACATGTAGTCCCTTCTAATCGGTTCCCTCCTTCCTATCCACTCTCCCTCCACCCTCCCTGAAGACCCCAGAACTATTACTGACCTAAGTGTCATTGTTAAAATAGGGGTGTTATACAGACCATTAAGGGGCCCTAGTGGTGTACTGCATTTTGTGATGGTCTGTTTAGCACAAGGTTGGCAGTTCAAGCCCATCAAGCACTCCATGGGAGAAAGATGAGGTTTTTTACTCTTGCAAAACCTGACAGCCTCAGAAACTCACAGGGCAGTTCTACCCGCCCCATCCTATAGGGTCTCTAGGAATCGGAACTAACTCGGTAGCAGTGAGTGATACAGAGCTTTGTCATTCTCATGTACTCAGCCATTTACCCCACAGTACTTCATTAGTGTCCAGGTGACTGAGCCCAAAGGGGATTTCCATTGCCAATTAAGAGATCTTTCAGAATGAGAAAAGAAAGAAAACAAAAACAAAGCTTCCTGTCTCAGTTATCCAGAGACTGATGTTGAACCCAAGCTGCCAGTCCATCCTCCTGTTGACTTCATGAAGATACTGGATCTATGTCTCTGCTGCACTGCCCTCTGTCCACCATTCCTGCCCCTCAGCTCCTGGTGCTCCTTTCAGCAGTTAGAGACTCTCCCGAGGTTCAAGTGCTAATAGCATCTCACAAAGATGACATTTTCCTCAGAAGCTTCCTTAGACGCTATGCAAAATTGTTAACCCCACTTCCATGCCAAGCTCTCCTCTCCTCCAAAAATAGGCCATACGTTCCTACTTGCCTTTGTATCTATGACAAAGAGGGCTTGGCTATCTCTTCCACTGCATATAAAGGCAGCCCACAAAGTTAAAGATGGGTCTCATTGTACAAGTTCAGAAACTTAGCACTCTGACACTGATTTGCTAAATCTTTTTAAAGAAGAAACACACTATATTGTTATCTCCGTCTCATAATTGAAGGCTGGTGACAAGTCAGTGACTGACCAAGTCAATTGATCTAGAAATGGATTTGTGTGTCCTTGATTCGTTGTGACAATTTCTGTGCTAGTTGTCTATTCAAAGCAGAGTTGAATTTCTGAATTGCATAGGTGGGTTCTATTTATTAAATTCTATTCACCACTCATCAGTGGCACTGCCAAAGGATATGTATTGGGGAAAAGGTAGAAATCCAAGTGAAAAAACTGACCCTACTTCCATTGAATTGATTTTGACTCATAGTAATCCTACAGAACAGAGTAGAAATGCCCCATAGGGTTCTCAAGGCTATAAATCTTTATGATATCAGACTGACACATCTTTCTCCTGTGGAGTAGCTGGTAAATTCGAACTGCTGATCTTCAAGTTACCAACTAAGAATTGTAACCACTTTGTTTGTCAGAACTCCTTATGGTTGAGTTCTCCTTCACTGACATTTAGTTGCTTCTGACTCATAGTGACCCTATAGGACAGCATAGAACTGTCCTTGTGGGTTTCTAAGACTGTAACTCTATAGGAGAAAGTTTCATCTTTCTCCTGTGGTTTAGAACTTCTGACCCTGAGGTTACCAGCCAAACATGTAACTGACTCTGCCACTATAGCTCCTTCAGGTAGGGCTAGCACTTTCATAATTTTTATTAGCTTCCAGAGTAAATTAAATAGATATTATTTAAATGGAAAAGACACTTATTCAACCTTAGCTCAAGTGTGAATAAGAGCCCTTTTTGTTCACTTTGTTATTTGCAATGATCTTGTTTCTGCTTAGGAGCCCTGGTGGTGTAGTGGGTCAATGTTGGGAAACTAACTGCGAGATCAGCAGTTCTAAACCACCAGCCACTCTGAGGGCGGTGGGGGGTGGTGGGGTGTATGGCTTTCTACTCCCACAAAAAGTTACAGCCTCAGAAACTTACAGGGGGCAGTTCTACTCTGCCCTATAGGGTTGCTATGAGTTTGCTTTGAGTTGATGGCAGTGAATTTGAGTTTGAAACCTTCTAAGAAACTCACAGGGGCAGTTCTACCCTATAGGGCCCTATATGATTGATACAAGTAGGAAATGACTTGATGGCAGTGAGTTTGTGTGTGTGTCTGTGTGTGTGTGTCTGCTTAGGGGCCCTGGTGATGCAGAGGATTACATGTTATGCTGCTAACCACAAGGATCGAAGTTCAAACCCACCAGTGACTTCAAGGAAGGAAGATGAGCCTTTCTATTCCCATAACAATTTATAGCCTTAGAAACCTGAAGAAGTAGTTTTACTTTGTCCTATAGGGTTCTCATGAGCCAGAATTGACTCAATGGCAGTGAGGTGTGTGTGTGTGTGTGTTTGCTTACAACATGTATCACCACTGCCCCTGCCCCCAGTTTTCCATTATACTCAAAATAGAAAACAAAAGCCTCATTGGGTGTTATTTAATCTTACACCCCCTCGCACATAACTTGTAAACCATCCTTGTATTTACTGGTAATTCTCTAGGGAGGGCCTTTGCATCCACCTGACATTTGCTTTTCAGTGATTTTTGCCATGCTGGAGTTTTCTTGGCCTTCAAACCTCTCTTAACCATTGACTCCTTCAAGAACCTTCCATGACCACTTATCTGCACTAGTTCTACCACTCTCATCACTCCTAACTGAAACCAAACCAAACCTGTTGCCACTGATTCCAACTCATAGCAACCTCATAGGTTATCGACTAGAACAATTCCATAGGGTTTTGTTGCCTATGGTCTTTATAGAAGCAGGTCATTAGGCCTCTATGTCATGGTGCCACTGGGTAGGTCCACATGACCAACCCAGTAGTAGTTTAGTGTAAACCACTTACACTATGCTTGGACCTGTTACTACTTCCCTTACCCGTCTCCATAGTACACTGTAACTAGTTTACCTGTTTTTCTGCAGTAGAATGTAAGTACTAAGTAGGAAGAGACTTGTATCTACTGAACCAGTCTGGGCCCAAACAGGAGCAAAATCATGTAGTTATTTGAACAATGAAAGTTTCATATAAAGAATTATTGACCATAATAGAGAATTGATATCCTGAGGGATTGACTAGCAAAGAGTGAAGAGACCTCCGAATAATACAGAAACAGCAAATATAACTCAGCAGCCACGCTCCTAGGGCTAAGATGCCCAAGCAAGATTCTTCCTTGTTCCCTGACACATCCTAGGGTTGATGCAGGTTTGATTGGAGAGACAACAGCTGTGTCTCTTAGAATGGCAGAGATGATTCTCTCCTGCTGGGCAGGTGGACCTTGCTGGAAATCTGCCTTCTAGAACTTGCCAGGATCTATACTCTGAGACTTGCTGGAAATCCATCCTCTCATGTGTTTGGGAAATGGTTTGGAGAGATATCTCATAGAGGCACTCCACACAAAAGTGCCCAGAGTAGAGGGGTGTTACTATAGGAAGCTGCTGGGTGCTGCTGACTATACCCATGTGGTAGGAACATATTGCTGAAACACATGAGGACCTGAAGCAAAACCGTTTGCTGTGATTTCTCTCCAGTGCCCTCTACTGACAAATCTTCAGTGGCGCAGGCAAAGGGAATTATTTAAAGGGCCCAGATGTATTTTCACAGAACAGGCAAAAAGGTTGAATTTGGAGCTGGGAGGTAATAAATCAATAAATTACCTTTACTGCTAAATCCCCATGTTCTGACACATATTGGGTACTCAATAAATATTTGGTGAAAGAATCAATGATTAAGAACATAAAATTTCCATAAAAACAGTGTGCTTGTTTTACATTTGTCACACCAAAACTTCACCCCCATGCCCAGCTTCTAATAAGCTCCTTAAATATGAAAATTTTGGAGCCCATAGTGTGCAGTAGGGTTACGACAAGCACTCAGGTAACCCCACAGTTCATCTCAACAGCTTTTGAGAAGCTCAGAGAGCAGAAAGCAGAGGAGATAGATGTAGCCATTAGCCTAACCACTTTTCTGTGTTGGGATCAGGGCCAAGCATCTTTGTAAGATATCACTGAGATTATATAGATCTGCTACATAGTCAGGAGCACTGGTGACACAGTGGTTAAGTGCTTGGTGGCAAACTGAAAGGCTGGCAATTCATATTCACCAGCCACCCTGTGGGAAGATGATGGCAGTGTATGTTTGGGAAACCCTATGGGGAAGCTCTCCTCTGTCCTATAAGGTCACTATGAGTTGTAATTCAACTAGATGGTAATGGGTTATGGAACACACACCCCAAACATGAGACATATCCAAGTGCTGGCTTTTAAAACTGTACTTAATACAAAATAAAGAAACCTTCTGATTTCTCTAGTCACTCTTTTGCTAACACAAACTGTCAAGAGATTTTAGGAGAAAGGTCCCTGCAAGAAGCTAGTTGATATTTCCAAACAGAGCAAAGTTTCCCCTTTGTCCACTGACCCTGTCAATAGCTCTTCAGGTCCTATTATTAGAATTCCCATTTCCTGTCCTGGGAAATAACTGCACAGAATTTCAATAAATACAGCCCCAATGATGCAGAAGCTCTCTATGCTGACACAATATGGCATTCATTCTTTAAGGTCATCAACAAATATTTGCTGAGCACCAACTATGTATCGGACATCATCCTGGGCATTTGGAGTACAGCTGTGAGTACCACTCAGTCCCTATTCTTAATGGGACTTGCTAACATTCTGGCTAAAATTGGAGAATGTGGAACTTCACTACAGAGGCACTGTGGGGGACTTAACCAATTATTGAAAAGCTCCACTGGGAGCAAATAACCAGCCTTAGGAGAGAATGTTGCTGGTATTTTTAGAACAGACCCTGTTCTCCCTCATGTAAAAATTCCCTCATCTGAGCCTTCTAAGTCTGGATCCTTGCAAATGTTTCAGAACGGAACTATCCAGTAGGAATAATGTGAGCCACATGAATAATTTAAAATGTTCTACTACCCAGGTTAGGAGTCCTGGTAGTGGTTGGGCTGTTATCTGAAAGGTCTGCAGTTCAAAACTAGCAGCCACTCTGCAGGAGAAATAGGGTTTTTCTACTCTTGTAAACAGTTACAGTCTCAGAACTCACAGGGGGCAGTTCTACTCTGTCCCATAAGGTCACGATGAGTCGGCATGAACTCGATAGCAGTGAGTTTGGTTTTTCGGTTTGAGTATCTAGGTTAAAACACAAAGAGACCCTAATAAACAGATAATAAAATATTTTAACTCAACGTATTCAAACACTATCATTTCAATATGTAATTATTCAAAATTACTGAGCTGCTTCCATTTCTTTTTGTTCATTTACTCCTCCTATATAATAACTCCCGTATGCATCCTTAGAGAACATTGGATTGGGAATTGGCTACATTTCTATCGCTCAACAACAGCCAGATGCGGGTAGGAAGTGGGTGACAGAGGTTCAAAAATTGTTAGATTCTTCTGTTCACTAACTTTGAGGGTGAGAGAGAAAATGTTTGCTGAATGGAAACATGTTTGTGAGCTCTAGTTTGAGTTTTGGTAAATTGTGAGAATTAACTGAGGATCAACACAGCCTTCCCTGGCACCAACCTTCTAGTGCCCAGCCCAGAGGGAGGTTCAGGCGATGCGCTGGGATGTACGTGGAATCATTATTTCATCCACTGAGCAAAATGATCTTGCCAAGAAGAACATTTGTCCACTAATGCTGAACCAACAGTCCCATCTCAAGCTATAATAGGCAAAGGATGCTAAACATAAATGTCAAAATCCTAGAGCATTAAAATAGCCAACTTGCCACTAGGAGCTTTTCCTGATTCCCCCCCAATCTCCAAAGGTCAGAGACTCACTAGGTTAAGACTTGGAACCTGGGCGATCTTCCCCACAAACTGGGAAGCTACCCATAGTTGGATAGGAATGAATGGAAGGGCTGCCTATCTGGGGTTGCTCCCTGCAGGCCACCCTGTCTGCCCTACCTCCCAACATTTTTTGGTCAAGGCTGGGAGACTCTGGCCTCAGTCCCAGGGTCATCAACCTTCGGGCTCCTACCTCAAGGTGGCCGGCCCGCCATCTTTTGGGATCTGCTGTGCCCCACATGTCAGCGGGGCTGGCTACGCCAAAGAGAACCAGGGGCTGGGTGGTGGAGCTGCTGGGGAGGGAGAAAGGACTGTCTTATTCCCTTTAAACTTGGAGCTGGATTATCTCCGAGACACCAAGAGGGCATTTTCTTCCCAGGGCCCCGGGCAGCAACCCAGAAATGTGGTTTACAAGACAGAAAAACAATCTGAAGGTGGTGCGGGTGGACCCTAGGACAAAGTTTCTTTGGGCATCTTGCAGCCCCCGCTCCCGGAATTTCAGCCCTCCCAGAGGCTTCACCGAAGAGCCCCAGTGGTCCCTAGGCGGAGCATCTAGGGGGGCCTCCCTACGGAGTTGATCGCGGCAAAGCCACCCCGCTTCGGGGTTAAATGGCAATCACAGCTTCTCCTGCACGGCTCACAGGGGCGCTCCCCAGCGCCGGTCCCCGTCCCCCTCCCAGGCCGGCGTCTCACGGTTCCGTCTACGGCTCTAAACAAGGGCAGGGGCCCGAGTCCGCGTTCACACGGAAAATTATGCCGGCTCCAGCGGCGCGTAAAATTGATGTGAACCGAACGAAGTGGGATCAGCGTGATCCTCCCTCTCTTGTCTCAACAGGGGTTTCGGCGCGTTACACAAGGCCGAGCTTGTCTCTTTAAGGAGACATTGGACCCTAATTAGTACGCATTCCTGGCGCGGCCGCGGAGCGAGGGGCCCGGATTGTTTGTTGTGGGAGGGAGGGCGAGACTCGGAAGGAGCTCTGACCAGCCCTCTGCCTACCGCCCCCTTCGCCCCCTTTATTTGCGGCCACCACCGCCACAACCACCCAATTCTCAGGATGCAGCCCGGGCAGCAGCAACGCCGGCAGCCGCCGCCGCCGTCGCCGCTTCTCCCAACCCCACGTTACTTTGATTGACAGCTGAACAAATGTTTCCCTGGTTCGAACGCTCGCGCTAAGGAACGTCAGCCAAGTCGAAGCTCCGCCTTGGGCGGGCCGTCTGCGCCCCGCCTCTGCCAAGCCCATCTCGTTCTGTTCATTGGTTGAACCCGCAGGCGACGCCCGGCCCCCACGTGGGTTCCATCCCGGCCGGCTCCTCCTCCCCTCGCACGCCATTTGTCTGCAGTGAAATGATGGGCAGTAACACAGAACGGCGATTAATGTTTAGCCATCTCTGATTGGTTGCTGAAGACGCCTCCCGCGCCAAGGGTGGGTGGAGCGCTCGAAGAGCGCCCCAGAGCGGTCGCAAGGCCGGCCGGTGATTGTAGTCTATTTGGCGGAATCTTTAGCCTTGGTCGCTGGGGGCGGACTACATCACCCAAGATGCTTCGCGATTCCTCGCGGACGATTGTGAATATGTATCAGAATGTTAATGATTAGCTGCTGCTAAATTTGGTCAAAGAAGTCACCTACACAGAGCGTGTTGTTAGAGCTGTTCTGAGAGGGTGTTTGGGCTGTTGGCTGCTTTCTTCCCCCTCTGTCACACACTTGTATATTATTTTGAGGTGGTGTTCGCAGAGTTTGAAAGAGAATTAAAAAAAAGCCGCAAGCGTTTCACTCTCTTTTATTTTTATAATCCCCTTCAATTTGGGGTTTGACAAAAAAAAAAAAAAAAAGACAAGAAAACAGGAAGGAAGAAAAATAAGGAAATGAGATGTGGTAAAAGAAGCTAAAAGGTGCCTTTTAAAAGATCGTTGCTGTGAAGTGAAAAACATCTCCAGAGAAACTAAAAAGCATCGCCGAGACCTCTTCCGAACCAAAGGAGTTTGTGTTTGCTTTTAGGAAAGAAGAGAGATCATTCATTCGGAGGAATAACCACCAATTAAAAGACAAATAAAAGTTTGGAGTGGGGCGCAGAGCGAGCGAGCTAGCAAGCGGCGCTGCCGGCGGGCAGGCGGGCGCGAAGCTAGCACTTTTCCGGCCGAGCCGAGCGGCGCGGCGGCGGCTGCGGCTCGGGGC